AATCGGGGCCAGACGAATGTTTCCATCTTGGGACGAGCCTGCATTGAAAGCTACTTTTAACATCTCTGTAAAGCATCATCAGAAATATAAGGTTCTGTCAAATATGCCGTTACGTGATCAGTACACGGACGAAGATGGCATGATGTGGGCACACTTTAACATCACCCCAATAATGTCCACTTATCTCGTGGCAATTGTGTTATCTGAATATGATGGTGTTTCCAATGCGGATGAAACCGTCAATATGTGGTGTAAATCGTCTATGACATCGCAAATAAAATTCGCTCATAGCTTTGCCGAAAAATTCGAGCAAATCTTGATTCGATATACCAATATTTCAAGACAAGTTCCGAAAATGGATCACGTAACGATACCTTCTTTTCTAGTCAACGGCATGGAAAATTGGGGACTTATTCTCTACAAGTAATATATTATATATAATTAAAAAGAGATATGAAAATCAATGTTAATTTTAGCAATAAAAAAATATTCGTATTTTAGATATCCAAAATATACATATCTTTATGCTTACATGCTTATAATAAAATTATTCTGTCTAATTGTATTTTATACATTATGTTTTGACTTTCAGTGAAAGGACTTTTATGTACAATAGTAGCACAGATCCTACACTTCAGAGAAAACATATAGCATCATTAGTAGCACATGAACTTGCACATCAATGGTTTGGCAATTTGGTCACACCATCTTGGTGGTCTCATCTATGGTTGAGTGAAGGATTTGCAGTGTTTTTAGAAACATATCTTCTCGATAAGGTTACTTAACATGGTATTATTAAGGCAACGTTTCTCATAAAATTGAGAAACATCGTGTACCTTCTATAGGGTGTCCCAAAATTTTCAAACATTTGTCCCATGTGTCCCAAACATTTCATAAGTAGGTAGAATGATAGGATTTTACTGAATAAAAAAATTGTTGTGCGCAAGAAGGGGGGGATAAATGATAGACCCTTGAGAACGATTGAATAATAACATTTATATGACTGAGATTATTAAGATGAAACGGATTGCAAATATAAAGTGTGATAACGTGTTCGTAACTCGGCGTTTGCGTTGCGTGAGAAGATGCTCGAGTTTAGCGTTAACGGCGTTTTTTTCGATTGTGTCTGAAGTGCGTCGCTAAAATGTTTTTATAATCGATGTTCATGCGAATCGGTTTACGTTCCTTCAAAAATCCTCTACCATTTTGCGATTTTTGCAATAAAAGATTAATGAATTATTAAATGATAAAAATGAATGACTCTATACTATTCTTTTAATTGCGTAAACTCTACCGCTCGAATGATGTGTCAATAATTTTTGGATACTATGTATATATATATATATATATATATATATATATGCGAACATACATATGAACTAATCTTTGTAATTTATCCTAATTATGCAAATTCATTTATTCGGATTATTCAATTGCTTTAAAGAAATTTTTTTTTAGATGTTTGATTGGCGAATAATGGATCTTTTTGTGCTTGAAAAATTGCATATTTGCTTTGAATTAGATACTGGTTTCTATATGGACTCTGTTGTTTTGGAAAATAATCTTCGAACTGAGTTGTTTTTTTCATATGAAGTTTATTTTAAAGGTAATATTATATAAATACATTTAAGTGAGCAGTTTCTTCGAAGTAGAAAAAAATGATCAAATAAAAGAGGTTGATGAGAACAAAATTCTTTTTACATTTACTTGTGCATTTAATTTTATTTATATAATTTAATTTAAATATATAATTAATATATATATTTTACAATCTTTTTATCATATAGCACCTGTTATATTGCGTATGTTGCAACATATAGTTACCGATGATGTGTTTCAATATGGTATCATTTTATACTTGGACACGCAGTAAGTGTCTAATATAATTTACAATTTATAATACAATCATTATACATCGCAGTATTAAATGTTATAACGTTATGATTATTTATGTAATCAGTATTCAATTATAAAGTAATTATTGTATTACAGAATGTCTTATATTTATTATATCATAGTTTAATTAAATCATAGTTTTAAATAAATAATATTAAATAATATTAAATAATAGGTTTCTGTATGTAGAAATTATATTATATATTAATTTTTATTGACCAGAATTAAATCGATAAATTTACATTCTCTATGTAAAATTACTTAACAATAATACTGCATTTTTCAAATATAGTAAATTTCGTTCGGCGACGTCTGACGATCTGTGGATCGCTTTACAAGATGCCCTAGACAAATCGGAAGTTCCGCATAACAATTACAAAATAAAAGAAGTGATGGATACATGGATAAAGCAAAAGACTTATCCTTTGGTGAATGTGACAAGAAATTATACAACTGGTGAAGTGATAATATCGCAAAGATCCAGTTACAACTTGGAAGAAACTGATGTTGACAGTATTAAATGGTGGATACCAGTGACTTTCGCCACACAAACAAATCCAGATTTTTCCAATACTTCACCTCGTTATTGGCTGAAGCCGCAAGATCAAAATATAAGCTTTCAAATCGATACAAACGATTGGATAATTGTTAATTTACAGCAAACTGGTAGATATCAATCAATAAAATAATCATATATATTATTATATATTATTTATATGTCGTTCACAAGTATCCAAAAATCTATAAGTATCCAAAAATCTATAAGGAACACTTTATGTTGTTCAAATAATCTTTTATAATACAATTAATAATCTTTATCTTACATTTCTTATATTATTTGTTAGTTCTATCTAATATTATATACTACATTTGCTTTCTATATTTAAAAAATATGAAATGTCGATAATTCGAAATATATTGGTATAACAAATTTAGTTAAATTTATGTAACATGTAAATATAATGGCTAATACTTTAGGATATTATCGTGTCAATTATGATTACACAAATTGGCAAAGAATTGTACGTTACTTAAATTCGGAGGAATATACGAAAATTCATGTTCTTAATCGTGCTCAAATTATCTATGATGTTTTTATCTATTTGGTGAAAGATCAACTCGATGCCTCCATATTCATCAATATTACAAATTATTTGTCACGCGAAACAGATTACGTGGCATGGTATTCCATATTCGAAATTTTATCACTATTATCACAATATTTTATGATGCCAGAAATTGAAGCTTTTAAGGTACGTAATAAATATAATAGATATAAATAAATATTATAAATATAAATAACATTATTATATGTATTATATTTATATTATATAATAAAATTGCATATTATATTTATGTAAGTATATCATAATCGACTATTCAGTTATCTTCTTTTATATCATTTATATTTATGTTTATTGTTTGTTGTTCTTACATCACAATGATCAAAATATCGAACATATAATATCCTTAGCTTTGATTAATATACTGATTGTCTAGCAAACTTTACACACCTTATTATGTCTATATATGTAGTAGTGAAAGTTTAATTATAAACTAAAATTACTATCGCAAATATATAATGATAATATTATAATTTAATTATAAACTATATCGTCATACGTATTTATCACGCTATGAGTCATTGACTCTTGAAGCATTCAGACGTATCTAACCGATATCATATGTCAAGTGTTATAAATTGCAAGCTCAATAGCGTCGAATATCAGTGATTCTCCCCTGTCCCCTCTTACCGATACTATCCCGGTCATCAGTGAAAGTTAAATTCTCGGATCATTCTCGTGATAAAAATTGATAAAAATTCAAAAAATGTATTAATTGTACAATGACATATGTATGTTGTGTATACGAATTTTATCTCATTTATCTCATTATAAATATCGACTTTGTAAATATCAAATCAATATAATATTTATATTAATTTATGATTTCTAGTTACACATGGTAGGTATTCTGAATGAGCTTCTTCAAAATACAGGATACGAAGAAAATCCTAAAGATGACGACATTGTTAAAAGTGAAAAGGCTCGAAGCCATGAAATGGGCTTGTCTCCTTGATAATTCGGATATCAAGATGAAGATGAGCCTTAAATTGAAAGATACCTTGACGATCCTGATAACAACTAA